AGGCGTGGGCAGTTTCTCGACGCCATAGTGGTTGCGGCGGGGGTGGTCCCTCCGCGCCGGTCGTCCAGGCCGTAGCAGGCGTGGCAGTTTCTCGACTCCATAGTGGGTGCGCAGGGGGTGGTCCCCCTATCCGCGCCGGTCGTTCAGGCCGTAGCAGGCGTGGCAGTTTCTCGACACCATAGGGGGTGCGCAGGGGTTGGTCCCGCTTTCCGCGCCTGTCGTCCAGGCAGAGCAGGCGTGGCACTTTCTCGACACCATAGGGGTGCGCAGGGGTTGGTCCCCCTGTCCGCGCCGGTCGTCCGGAGGTCCGGCCGTAGCAGGCGTGGCACTTTCTCGACACCATAAGGGGGTGCGCAGGGGTGGTCCCTGAGCGCGGCCGCTATCCGAGACGGTCGTCCAGGGCATAGTAGGCGTGGCACTTTCTCGATTCCATTAGGGGTGCGCAGGGGGTGGTCCCTGAGCGCGGCCGCTATCCGAGACGGTCGTCCAGGGCATAGCAGGCGTGGCACTTTCTCGACACCATAGGGGGTGCGCAGGGGGTGGTCCCTGAGCGCGGCCGCTATCCGAGACGGTCGTCCAGGGCATAGTAGGCGTGGCACTTTCTCGATTCCATAGGGGGTGCGCAGGGGGTGGTCCCTGAGCGCGGCCGCTATCCGAGACGGTCGTCCAGGGCATAGTAGGCGTGGCACTTTCTCCATTCCATAGGGGGTGCGCAGGGGTGGTCCCCGAGCGCGGCCGCTATTCGAGACGGTCGTCCAGGGCATAGCAGGTGTGGCACTTTCTCGACACCATAGGGGGTGCGCAGGGGTTGGTCCCTCACCGCGGCCGCTATGCACGACGGTCGTCCAGGGCATAGCAGGCGTGGCACTTTCTCGACACCATAGGGGGTGCGCAGGGGTTGGTCCCTCACCGAGGCCGCTATGCACGACGGTCGTCCAGGGCATAGCAGGTGTGGCACTTTCTCGACACCATAGGGGGTGCGCAGGGGGTGGTCCCTCACCGCGGCCGCTATGCACGACGGTCGTCCAGGGCATACCAGGCGTGGCACTTTCTGGACAAAATAGGGGGTGCGCAGGGGGTGGCAACGGCCACCAACATCATTATTACATGCTTCACTTCAGTTATCATCACTCCAGCCATAATAAAGTATGTGGGGTTCCTCGGCAGCGTAATTTTTTGTCGGAGCAGTTTCTGAGGATGTTTCAGGCGAAGCGTTGGTTTCAGCACTTCCAATGGGGTGCGCCAGGGGGTACGTATCTCACGGGCCCGTTCGCGCCCAGATCGGGGGGATGTCTCAGGCGGTTTGCCTGTTTGGGTGCTCAACATCATTCTCTTTCGGAGCAGTTTCCGAGGATGTCTCAGGCGAGGCGCTGGTCTCGGCACTTCCGGAGGAGGGCCGCCAGGGGGTATCTCACGGGCCCGTTCGCGCCCGGATTGCGGGCGTGTCTCGGGCGAGTTGCAAGTCTGGGTGCTCAACATCATTCTCTGTCGGAGCAGTTTGCGAGGATGCTTCAGGCGAGGTGCTGGTTGCAGCACTCCCAGGAGGGGGCGCCAGGGGGTATCTCACGGGCCCGTTCGCGCCCAGATTGGGGGGATGTTTCAGGCGGTTTGCTTGTTTGGGTGCTCAACATAATTCTCTTTCGGAGCAGTTTCCGAGGATGTCTCAGGAGAGGCGTTGGTTTCAGCAGTCCCAAAGGGGGCCGCCAGGGGGTATCTCACGGGCCCGTTCGCGTCCAGATTAGGGGGATGTTTCAGGCGTTTGCTTGTTTGGGTGCTCAACGTCCTTCTCTTTCGGAGCAGTTCCCGAGGATGTCTCAGGCGAGGCGCTGGTTTCAGCGCTCCCCAGGGGGGGGCCGCCAGTGGGTACGCGCCCAGAATGGGGGGATGTCTCAGGCGGTTTGCCTGTTCGGGTGCTCATCATCCTTCTCTTTCGGAGCAGTTTTCGGCGCCCTGGTAGGAGTTCTTAGGAAAATAAAGAGAAAGAGGAGGAAGACAATGAGGAGGAGGAGGAGGATGAGGAGGAGGAGGAGGAGAAGGAGGAAGCAACTAGGTAAAGTCGTCGTAGTCGTTAGCGTCTTTCCCTGCTTCGGCTTCCACATGAATTCGCTGACACTCAGATATTGAACAGGACAATGCCTTCTACCGGAGCATGCCATCACTATGATATGCACATATGGGGATCTCCGCGTCGAGTAATTAATGCGAGCCTCGGAAGGAGCTCTTTATTATCAATGGTCACCGGGGGGATCAGCAGCAACAACAACAAAAACAACAACAAACACACATTTTAGCCTTGTGAGAGACCCAACCACATGCAGTTGAGAGTAACGCATTTATGGGTGTCTTCTGCGGTGGAAATCCCTATGGGGCCACGCAACGTGTGAAGGATGTACCGAAACGGGCGCGGTGGGCGCATTCGAACGCGTGGGAGAGGTGTGCCGAATTGGGCGTGGTAGCGTCATGCGAGTGCAGCCTCAGGGGCCCTTTGTGGAGCTCCCTGTGGGGCCGCGAAACGTGTGAGAGGTGTGCCGAAATTGGCGCGGCGGTGCCATGCGAGCGCAGCCTCTGGGGCCCTCGGTGAAGCTCCCGATGAGGCCACGAAACGTGCGAGCGCAGCCAGAGTGGTGCTCCGTGGAGCTCCCCATGGGGCCACATAACGTGTGAGGGGTGCCGAAATTGGCGCGGTGGTGCCATACGAGCGCAGCCGCTGGGGCCTTCGGTGAAGCTCCCTATGGGGCCACAAAGCGCGTGAGGGGTGTGCCGAAATAGTCGAAGTGGTGCCATGCGAGCGCAGCCGCTGGGGCCCTCGGTGGAGCTGCCTATGGGGCCACAAAACGCGTGAGGGGTGTGCCGAAATGGGCGCGGCGGTGCCATGCGAGCGCAGCCTCTGGGGCCCTCGGTGGAGCTGCCTATGGGGCCACAGAACGTGTGAGGGGTGCGCCGACATGGGCGCAGCGGTGTCATGCGAGCACAGCCTCTGGGGCCCTCGGTGGAGTTCCCTATGGGGCCATGAAGCGTGTGAGGGGTTTGCCGAAATGGGCGCGGCGGTGCCATGCGAGCGCAGCCACTTGGGTTCTCTGTGGAGCTCTTTTCTGGGGCCCCATGGTTGACTGGCGCGGAGGAAAAAGGCAGGGACGGGAGGACGGGGAGGGAGGGGGCAGCGGGAGGAAGGAGTGAGACGCGGGGCGTTGTCTCTTCAAAACGAGGACGCAACACCACCGGATGGTTGGGAACAGCTACAAAAATCAGCAGCTTGAGATTGTTTGCTCCTGTATGCCTACATGGTTTGTGTTCAGCCCCGAAGACAGGGGAAGAGAGGACGGATGGAAGGGGAAAAGAGAAGGATGGAGCACTGGATTAGCAGGAGGGTGACCAGGAGCGGAAAACACGCGGCCAGATCGAGAAGGCTCATTGCTGAAGCGTGAGTATTGCCTGAATCACGAGGAGAGCCATGCACCCAGGGACCATGAATCACCGCTTGGCCCCCTCGCTCTGATCATATTATCGGGGCTCTGGGGTGGTGGCGGCAGGAACGGCGACGGCGGCAACCCTCAGATCCGACGTTGCCAAAAAAATCCGACATCGCAACAAATCATGACCGCACCCAGGGCCCGAAAGTTAGCGAAGACGCCCAGCTAGGTAAGAATTGGGTCGCCAGGATCTCAGGGAACGGCGGCGGCGGGTCGCGCACGCAGGCGGCGGGAGAAGCGATTTACGCCGCGGTGTTCGACGCGGCGCCGAGCCTGCAGGCGTTGTTCAAGACGCCGCGGGCCGTCATGGCCATGCGTTTCATGAACGGCGCGCCGCTCGCCTTGGGGGGGGGGGTCGCCCATGAGGGGGGAGAACAGAGGGAGGAGGAGAAAAGGAAGGGAGCGGCGGGAAAGAAAGCAGGCGAAAGGCAGCAGCGGGGAGAAAAGAAGGAGAAGGAAGGGAGAGGATAGAGAAGCGCGCGCGACGACGACGAACGGACGACGACGACGCCCGCCCGCGAGCGGAGACGACGACGACGACGACGACGACGACGACGACGACGACGACGAAGGCGACGACGACGAGGGGAGACATAAAGGGAGAGACAGAGGTCCAGAGATCTAGCGCACACTGGGGAACCGCATCAGAAAGCCATATGGGGCGTTCCAGAAAGGGCCTGGCCTTCGAGGAGCGAAGGAGCTGCCATCTCTTCCTCGGCGGAACGACGTCGGAAGGCGGTGGAAGTAAAACGAGGCCGCCTCCGCCAGTGGAAGCCGGCGGAATGCTGGCGAAAGCGAGCTGAAGATGTGACACCCCAAGATATGACCAGGGTTTCCAAAATCTGCCGCATGCTTTTCGCCAGGGTACCACGGGTTCCTTCGCTCCGCGTGCTGCACGGTGACTTCCAGCGGCCGCTGTAGACTGCGTTCATGGTGTTCTGGGTTCCCCACCGCGTGCATCTCGCGCGCGGGTTTTCAGTGTTGGCGTTCTTGTGAGCGTTTCTTGCGGTCGTCGGCCGCTCGCGGGACCGTCAAAAGTCGACTCTGGATAAGAAAACCGGCCCAAGGGAGTGGGTCGAGAAGTCCAGGGGTTCGGCATTGAAAATAAGAAAACAACGGATCTTTGGAGGAGAGAGAGAGAGAGAGAGAAAGAGAAAAAAGAGAGAGAGAGAGAGAGAGAGAGCAAACAAAAAAAAGAGAATCAACAAAAGGGAGAGAGAGAGAGAGAGAGAGAGAGCGAGAGAGGGAGACCTTGAGATCCGGGCGGCACATTTTTACGCATCGAGAGTTTTCGCCCAGTCTCGGACCCCAGGACCATCACAGATCGATGGGGCCCGAAAAGTGCGGTAGAAGGTGGGGGTTGGGGGTTTGGGCCGTGATAGGTTGCGAAACTGATTTTGGCAACGCCGGATGTCCGTGCGGAGAGCGAGACAAAGAGAGAGAGAGAGAGAGATAGGAAAAGAGAGAGAGAGAGAGCAACGATTCCGACGGATGTCCGTCCAGGCGCCGGGCGGCAAGCGGCCCGCGCGTCCCGGCCAGCCCGGCGAGTTCGGCCGGCCCCAACCCGTTGCAATTGGCCTGGCCGCCCAAACCAGCCAGGCAAGTTGTTGTTTGTCACCAAGTCATGGGCGTGAGCTGCACATCGGGGATGTGTTCGAAGATGCTATCACGTTTCCGGTGGCCTACAGGTGAATGCCGGGAGGAGGCATCATCATCACAGTTGTCTTCCCTACTGACCTGCCCTTCTTCCTCCTCCCCCCTTGTTCCTTCTCTTCCTCTTCCTGCTCCTCCTCCAACACCACTCCTTTTTCTAGGCGCCGCTGTGCCTCCTGTCCTCCTTGCTTCTCATCCTCCTCCCCTCCCTTTCCCTCCCCCTCATCCGCGTACCTCCCCACCTCCGCGCGTCTCCTCCCGGACGTCCCGCCAGGCTTGAACCAGATCATCGCAAGCCTGGCGGACCCCAAGGGGCTGAAGGTCGTGGTCGAGACCCTGGCCTTCCAGCACCTAGATCTCGAAGTGACCATTCCCCGGACGGTGACTAACAGGGTGGGGGGAGGAAGAGGATGAGAAGGAGGAGGAGGAGGAGGAGGAGGGGGAGGACGGGTGGCAGAGGGGGAGCAGGAGGAGGGAGAGAGGGTCGCGGGAACACGAGGAGGAGAAAGGAGGGGGAGGCGGGGGGGGAGGAAGAGCAGGGGATGAAGTAACGAGAGGGGTAGGGGAATGAGCAGGAGGACCCGCTCATTGGTGGAACCCATGGGCAGGGCTGGAGGAGGAGAAAGAACAGGCGGATAAGGAGGCGGCGGAGGAGGAGGAGGAGGAGGAGCAGGAGGATGAGAAGGAGGAGGAAGAATAAGAGGTGGAGGAGGAGGAGTAGGAGGAGGAGATGGTCTGCAGGCCGTCCGAGGTGCACGTGCCCTCGGCACGCTAGGCTCTGAGGGCACGTGCCCCCCCCCAGCCCGCTGCACGCCACGCTGGCGATCTGCAGCGCCACCGCGGCAGGGCGGCCGGCGCCACCATAGGCGCCGGCAGCGTGGTCTGAGACGCCCCGCGGCGGAGCGCAACCCGGACGACCGGGAGGAGGAGAAGGAGGAGGAGCAGCAGGAGGAGGAGCAGCAGGAGGAGGAGCAGCAGGAGGAGGAGCAGCAGGAGGAAGCCGACCATCGCCACCTGCTGCGCTCGCGCGCAAAGAGTGCAGCGGTCGCTAGCAGGGGGGATCCGCTCCCTGGCGCAGAGTCCGGCCTTGGGGAGGCACGGCCGCGGGCAAGCGTGCCCGGAGGAGGAGTGAGCCAGCGGCAGCGCGCAGATCAAGGAAAGACAGGCCCAGCAAGCCCGCGGGGCCGCGAGCCCCCAGGGGCCACCCTCGCCGTCCCTCCTCTTCGTCCCTCCCTCCCTCCCTCCTCCCGTCCCCCCCTGTATCACTACGCGATGGCTCAGACCCTCACGTCTCTCCTTCTCCGCCTGCTCATTCTCCCCCCACCCTCAGCGTCCCTCCTCCTCCTCCTCCTCCTCCTCCTCCTCCTCCTCCTCCTTCTCCTCCTGTCAGCCTCCTGCTCCTCCCCCTCTTTTTCTTCTTCCTCCTCCTCCTCCCCTCCTCCTCCTCCTCCTCCTCCTCCTCCTCCTCCTCCTCCTCCCCTCCTCCTCCTCCTCCTCCTCTTCGTCCTCCTCCTCCGCCCCCTCCTCCTCCTCCTCCTGCTCCCTCCCCCCTCCCCTTCCTCCTGGCGGAGGGGTGCCCTTCCTCCTTTTTGGCGCCCAGGTGATCTTCCGCGACGCCATCGTCGACCTCCTTGCCGTCGAGCTGGGCGCGCGCCTCGCCAAGAAGGCCCGCGAGGGCTGGTACATCATGCTGAACTACGTCGGCGGCGCCTACATCTACACTCGGCGCCTCCTCTCGCCCCCCCCGCCTCGTCTTCCTCCGCCCCCTCCCTCCGCTGATGTTCGGGATGTCCTGAGATCGTCGGGACTCGTGATGGCGAGCCGGGCCCGATGTTGGCCCTGGCTCCCGTCTCTGGCTGCAAGCCTCGGCCACACGCGTCTCCCACCTCCTCGTGAAACGCCTCCTTCTCCCGCTATCGTCCTCCTTCCCCCCCCCCCCTCCCGCCCCCTTCCCCCTTGCTCCTCGTCATTGTCCGCCCTGCTCCCTCGCTCCCTCCTCCCACCCCCTCGTGTCCCTCCTGCCACCTCGTTCCCCATGCTCATCCCAGGCTGAAGTTCGCCGACCGCCTCAAGGTCCTGGCTTCCAGCTGGGCCACTGCGAACAACAAGAAGGAGGACGAGTTTGCCGAAGCGATGGCGCCCGCTGAGGACGAGGAGAAGGAGGGCGAGGAGAAGGGCGAGAATGAGGGCGACGATGTGAAGAAAGCAGTGGACGACCAGCAGGAGATCATGATGGGCGCCAAAAAGGACGCACCGAGCGTCAAGAAGAAGAAGCAGAAGTCTCGGGGCTGGGGCTTTGGCTCCGCCAAGGACGCAGACAAGCAGGGGCCAGGCCACGAGATGATCAAGAACTCAGAGGAGGCTGACGGCAGCAGCTTCAGGAAAATGGCACGCGAAAGATATCATACACTTCTAATCGGCGGGCACCTGCGAGGCATGCACCTCGAGCATCGGGGGGGCGCTTTGGAAACGAATTGCGGCAGAAGGAGCCGAGCATAGGAGGTAGGCGGGAAAGAGACAGCCGCGGTCAGAACAGAAAGTCCTTCCCGCGCGTGCCGGAGGTGCACACTGAAATCACAGATAGTGTTTGACGCATGCACGAATATTTTCGGATGTCCTCGCCGACCCATGAAGTCCGTGCGGACCTCCAGATGTGTATGTTTTTGCCGCTGATTGCGTCTTTCCGTCTCAGGAACACCTCTGTGCCCACGACCTACACCGAGATGTTCTTCTTCAACGCGGCTGTCATGGGTTTCGGGCAGAGCACCTGGATGAACGAGGTGCTGGCCTCCTTCGACACGATCGTCACGAACGTGGCCAACTCGTACCGCCTGCAGGAGGAGTGCGGCGTGCTGTTGCTGCGCATCGCCCGTTCTTGCCCTTTCCCCCATCGAGATTCGAGGGCCGAGGTTTTCCCACGTCGAGGAGCGAGGATTCCAGAACCTGTCCAGGGCAAAGGGACAGGGCGCCTCGGCAAAAGGCGGGTGCGAGGGAGGCCCATCCAGTGGGTCGAGCATGCATGACACAGTGAGTGTCGCAATCTTGCGAGCCTGCGTAAGACAGGTTCTTGTGCGTTGGTCCTGTCGGCGCCTAAGAATAAACTCAGGAGGAGAAAAACGCACAGACACAATTAATCGTCGACCCCCAGAAAATATGGGAAAATATTGGCAGTGGGGGGGAAGACAAAAACCCAGAAAATATGTGAAAATATGGGGAATTGTTTTATTTGTGTGTATTTATGTGTGTGTCCTGGGGCCCCTTCATAAACATCCATCGCCGTCCTCAGGAGTGCGACGTGCTGTCGCTGCGCATCGCGAAGTACAGAGGCCAGATCAACCTCGGCGAGTACAAGGCGGTGATGCTGGCCTCCCTGCGCTCCCTCGTCCCCAAGGACCCGACCCAGGTGACGAGGAAGAGGAGGAGGAGGAGGAGGAGAAGGAGGAGGAGGAGGAGGGAGGAGGAGGAGGAGGAGGAGGAGGACGATGAGGAGGAGGAGGTGGAGGAAGAGGAGGAGGACGAGGAGGAGGACGATGAGGAGGAGGAGGAGGAGGAGGAGGAGGAGGAGGAGGAGGAGGGAAGGGTTAGGCCGGATGTGATGGTGTATTTTTGGATGTGATGCTTAAGTTTGGTTGTGTCGCTAGCGGTTGTTCTGGCTCGGTGGCGTTGCCCTTGGCGTGGCGGCGTATTTTACCAGATCCGCCTTCTCATCCTCCCAGCGAGGTCAGTTTGGGCATCATCCTCCTCCAAAGGCCGGAGGAGCAGGATGGAGGAGAAGGAGGCCTTCGCCTCCTCCTCCTCCTACTTCTCCTCCTCCTCTTCCTCCTCCTCATTCTCTTCCTCCTCCTCCTCCTTCTGCTCCTCATTCTCCTCATCCTCCTACTCCTCTTCTCCTCCCTCCTCGCCCCTGAATTTTCCGGCGTGATGGGTTTTGGCATGGTGATGCTCTTTGCACTCGACGTAACTCAAAGAGGACTGGAACTCCCAGCACGAGGTGGCGTGGACCTGGCTATGGGAGAACGTGGAGAGGATGCTCAAGGCGGGGTCATCCGCCCGCGTTCCCTCGTCCTCCCTGCTCCTTCTACGTTTTCCTGTTCCTCTCCCCTTTTACGTCCTGCTCCTCTTCCTCTATCCTTCCATCCGTCCCTCATGGTCCTCCTCCTTCTCCTCCCCGTGTCCTGCTGTCGCTGTTCCTCCTGCCCCTGCCATTTCGCTTCCCTCCTTTCCGATCCCCCTTCCTCCTGATGTTCGTCCTGGTTCTTCTCCCCTTCGTACCTCCCTCCCTCTTCTCATTACCCCTCGTCATCATCATCCCTACGTCTGTCAGGGGGAAAAAGAAAAATAAGAATGAGGCCAAACAAAGTATGATCATCATCATCATCCTCATCAGCAGCAGCAGTATCATCAACAGAATACCTACCCCTCCTCATCAACATCATCATCACCACCACCAGCAACATCAGCATCATAATAACAAGTAGCATCAGCATCGTCATCATCAGCAGCATCATCGTTAGCATCCTCCTCATCATCATAAGGATAATCGTCATCGTCTGCACCATCACCATCAGCATGGTCATCATTACCACCATCATCATCAGCCTCGACGTCGGTATCGTCATCATCATCAGCATCATCATCACCATCACCATACCTCTCCCCCTCCTCATGCTGCTCATCCTATGTTTGGTTCCATGTTTCTTTCCTCACCATCATTATCCTCACTCTCCCCATCCTCCTCTTTCTCATCCTCATCTTCCTTCTCATATGATCTTTCTTGCTGATGAGGGCGATCGGAGGTCCAGACATCAGCTCACGACGCCAACATATCCCTGTGAGGGACGGCCCGCTGGCGGCGTCGGAGCTCACAACACGTCTCATCGAGCCCCCGTCAGGCAGGGCAAGGGACTCTCGCTGCGGCGCGCGAATGTGCAGATGGACAAGCAGGAGGAGGAGGAGGAGGACGAGGAGGAGGAGGGGGAAGAGAAGAGATGAGAAGAAAAGAGAAGAGAAGGAGGAGGATAGCGAACTGCATGCAAGGGTGGCTGGGCATAGGGAAGCGGGGGGAGAGTGCGGGAGAGAGGTGGTGGGAGGCGGGGGCGGACGATCGACGACCACCCTTCGGGTGATAAGGAGGTTTAGGGTGGGAGGGAGGGGGGGGAACCAACATCTGACTCAATCGATCTCACTATGGATCTCACTCAACAGGACACCACGGGACACCACGGGACATTTGTCGATCTCACTATCGATCTCACTATCGATCTCACTCAACGGGACACCACGGGACACCTGTCGATCTCACTATCGATCTCCTTATCGATCCCACTGTTTGGGACACCACGGGACACTTCGGGGCACCACATCAATCTCAGTATCGATATCACGATCGATCTCACTATCGATCTCACGATCGATCTCACTCAACGGGACACCACGGGACACCACGGGATACCGCGGGACACCGCGAGCCAGCGCAGGACGGACGGACGAACGGGCGGGCGGGAGAGAATCATTCGACTTCGCCCTAGCAACGGCGGACACCACGGGACACCACGGGACACCGGGACACCGCTAGGGCCACCGCCGGCCGGACGGACGGACGGACAGACGGACGGACGGGGGAGCAACATCTGTCTTGTCTTCGCCCTAGCAACGGCGGGTTCATTCCTCTCGCGCGCCCACGCAGCTTCGCCCCGCCCCGCCCGCACGCACGACACGAACGAAACGAAACGATTTCCCGGTTGGGGGTCTCCGTTCCACTGCGATCTCACCCCCCAACTTCCGATATATGTAGATATCGGAGAAGGGCGGGAGCGGGCTGGATCGGTGCCAAAGCGCCGCATGGGGGGTGCCGGGGGTCTTGGACGGCTCCGAGGTCAAAGGGACCCTAAAGGGAGCCCCAAAGGTCCTCAGTACGTCCACCATTGCTTCGAGACGGCCCACCCGGCCTCCAAGCCGCCCCAAGAGGTCTCCAAATTGCTCTCCGAGAGAACCCCCAAGCTTTACCCGTGGTCGCCTGCTCCGCTTCCGACGCTCCGAGACGGCCCAAGAGCCCATCTGGGTCCCAACGCACCCCAAGAGGGCGCCAAGATGGCCGAAGAGGCCCCTAAGATGGCCCCCACATGGAGCACCAACACACCAAGTAGGCCATAAAGGGGGCCAACTGAGCTCGCAGACTCTCGGAAGACGGTGGCGCTTGCTTCGAAACGGCCCACCCGGCCTCCAAGACACCTCAAAAGGGCTCCAACATGATTTCCGACAGAGACCCAGAAGTTAGAAAGGCTTGGTTGTTCCAAACGTGTTTCAAGGATTCTCCTGTTGTCGCCTGTTCCGCTCCCCGACGCTCCGAGGCTGCCCAAGACGTCTCCCAGATCATTCAAAGACCGCCCAAGAGGTGTCTGAGAGGGCCCCAACACACCCCAAGAGGGCGCCAAGACAGCCCAGGAGGCGCCCAGGATCGCCCAAGAGGCTCCAAGACGGCCCCAGAACTCAGCCTGGACACCCCGGAAGGGCCCTACAGGGGACCAGGATGGCTCGCAGACGCCCCGAAGATGGCGACGCTTGCGCCCATGCAGCCTCCCTGACGCCCCGAAAGGGCTCCAAAATATCTTTCGAGCCAGGCCCAAAAGTTGAAAATAGCTGATTCCCAATTTTTGTTCGAGGGTTATCCAGTTGCCGCCTGTTCCGCTTACCGTCGCTCCAAGACTGCCCAAGAAGCTCCCCAGATCGCTCGAAAAGGCTGAGGAGGCGTCAAAGATGGCCCCAACACGCCCCAAGATGGCGACTAAATAAAAAGAAAAGAACGAAAAAACAAAGACTGCCCCAAGATGGCGACTGCACGGTCCAGGAGGAGCCCATGACGGCCCAAGAGGCCCCAAGACCGCCCCACAGGGGGCCGAGGAGCCCCAGGACGGCCCCCCAAGTCAGCATCGACGCCCCGGCAGGCCTCACGGAGGCTTCCAAAATGGCCCTAACACAGCCGAAACGGTCATTCTCCCGGAGCGCATTCCGCGAACATGATTGTCGCCGCCAGTCCGAAGAGGAGTGGGGGACCAGTGCTAACACAGAAGCCCATCAACGAGCTTGCAATGAACCGCTATTCGAGCTCCCCTTCCATGGGCCCCTACAAGGATTTGCTTTCATTGTGGGAAGTGCCGCGTTGGAAGACAACCGCCTGAAAATGTTCAACACCTCCAAAATACAATCCTTGGGACCCCAACGCCGCGAATCAACATTCTTGTTGCGTCCGGAAGATCATGAACCGTGCCATAGCACCATTCTTGGGATTTCAACGCCGCGAATCGGCCTGACAGTCGCGTTCTCGAAATCCTAAACCGTGCCAGAATTCCATGTCTGGGACGTCAACTATAAGAACCCAAGTGTTGTAAATGATTGAGACAAGTTCTCGCGGCGGTAAAGCGAGAGCCACCGTTTGAAAAGAAACCGCCTTGCATGCGTAAACTTATTTGCGATAGTGTGAGGCCAACGCGTGCGGCGCGAAAGCGAGAGCCACATTATGAAAACCACCCGCCCTCCATCCGTGAAGTTCCGGGAAATGTTTGAGGCGAGTGCGCGTGGCGCGAAGGCGAGAGCCACATGTGGAAAACCATCCGCCCTCCATCGGGAAACTTTTGAAGCAAATTCGCGCGGCGCCAAATCGGTCACCATATTTGGAAAACCAGAGGAGGAGAAGGAGGAGGAGGAGGAGGAAGATCCACCCTCAATCCGGGAAGCTGCTGCAAATTGTTAAGACACATTCGCGCGGCCCTGAGTCGAAGGCCACACATTTTGAGATCGAGCCGCCCCCCAGTCTTGAAACGGTTGCAAGGTGCGAGCCTCAGGATCGCACGAAACGCCCAGCCCGTCCTGCCCACACTGCTCGGGTTGCGGCAGACAGGAATAGGGAAAAGGATGGAGGAGAAGGAGGAAAAAGGGGGGATAAGAAAGAGGGACGGATGACGGAGGCAGTGGATGAGAGGAGGCGGACGAGGAGGAGGAGGAGGAGGAGGAGGAGGAGGACGGACAGACTGAAGAGGCCGAGGACGAAGATGGAAGCGCAACCCCTACTCAGCCGCCGCTCCTTCCCTCCTTCCTTCCCAGATTGATCAAAGACGGGCCAACAGGCCTCCAAGAGGGCTCAAAGCACAGCAAAACCATCATGTTCCCTTGGAGCCTTCGAGGAACATGATTGTCGCCGCCAGTCGGACACGGAGGACAAGGAGGAGGAGGAGGAGGAGGGGGAGGAAGGAGAGGAAGAGGAGGAGGAGGAGGAGGAGGAGGCGGAGAGGGAGATAGAGGGCGGAGGCAGGGGATGAGGATGATAATGCGGATGGAAGGTAGGAGGAGGGGGAGGAGGAGGAGAAGGAGGAGGAGCAGGAGGGCGGACGGAAGGAGGACACCGATGGAGGACGAATATGGAAGCGTAACCCCATTCAGCCGTGGGCCTTTCCATCTTCCGGGAGCGCTCAAAGACGGGCCAAGAGGCCTCCAGAAGGGCTCCAACATGGCCCAAGCCCTGAATTCCAGGAAAGCCCTCTGAAAACATAATCGTCGCCGCCAATCCAAGGAGCAGAAGGAAGCGACAAGAGAGCGATAGAGAGATGGAGGGCTGAGGCAGGGGATAATGATGATCACGAGGAAACAAAACAAGGGGGGGAAGGGCGGACGGAATGAGGAGACCGAGGACGAAGATGGAAGCGCAATCCCTACTCAGCCGTTGTTACCTGCACCTTCCTTCTGAGAGCTTTCAAAGACGGGCCAAGCAGCCTCCAAGAGGGCCCCAACACGGCCAAAACCATCATGGCCCCTTCGATTTGTCCAGGGTCATCATCGTCGCCGCTTGTCGGAGGAGGAGGAGGAGGAGGAGGTGGGCAAGAAGGGGGAGGAGGGGGGGCGGAGGCAGAGGCTGAGCATTAGGAGATCGAAGAGGAGGAACAATAAACAAGAAAATAGGAGGCGGAGGAAAAGGACGGACGAGAAATCCAGATTCATCCGCTGATCCAGCCCTCGCTCAAGTTCTCGTCCTTTGCCGTTCTACCTCTCTTGCCGCCCTGCTTTCCTTCTTCCCTACCTCCCTCCCTCCCTCCCGTCCCTTTCTCTCCCCCCTTCCTTCTCCCCCTCCCGCGACCACGACGACGCCGACGACGACGCCGACGACCCCATTCCCGCGTTCGTAGCCTCCGAGATGGCCTGCCTGCCATGGGAGTGGATGCGGACAACGACGATGAGGATGAGAATGAGGACGAAGTCTTGGGAATTGACAACCTTGGCGCGCGTCGGGCGCGCGTGAATATATGTAAATATGTCTGCACATATCTATGTATATATATATACATACATATATGTATATAAATAGATACACAAACATATCTGTATATATACATAGATACCCATCTATATGTATATATATATGTGTATGTGTATAACCCCGCAGATGCGGATAAGAGTGAGGAGGCGGTGGGGGCGTCGGCAGTTGGCGAGACTCTGGAGAAGCCCGCCGCAGGCGCCAAAGTTTCACAAATTATGCAACGAGCCCGCCGCCGATTTTTTCGTTAAACCAATGAGGGTAGGTCGCGGGTGGGTCGCAAATGGGTCGCGGGTGGGTTGCTGTTGGGTCGCGGGTGGGTCGTGGGTATTAAGGACACAAAATCCACCCCATAATAATCACCCCGACAAGCGAAGCCGCTTAGTAGTATGCGCACACACGGAATGAATCGAACAGAGCAGGGCTGTTTTGTCAACGCCCAAGGCCGTTTTGTAAATGTCAATTGTCGGGTCCCTGTGATTTCTCCTCCCTTGAGGGTGGGTCGCGGGTGGGTCGCGGCGTGGGTCGCGGGTGGGTCGCGGGTTGGCTCGCGGGTGGGTCGCGGGGTGGGTCGCGGGGTGGGTCGCGGGGTGGGTCGCGGGTGGGTCGCGGGTGGGACGACGACAACAACAATGCAACAAGTAGAATTCTGACCACGAATCCCTTATTCAGCCACGCACCCAGGGACAATGAATGACCCTTCGGCCCCCTCACTCTGATAGATACGCTTATCCATATGTCGTGATTATGAATTTCGTGTTCCGCCTTCTCCTCATACTCCTGTTCCCTCTTTCTCCCCCCCGCCCCTCCTCCTTTCATCCCCCCCTTCCTCGCGCTGGCTCGTATGCCGTTCCGGTTGGTCTATGCAAGTCCGCGCCGTTGTGGGGGCGCAAGGATGATCTCACGGCACGTTCTTGTTTGCAGATTTTTGCGCACGACAGTGCGAACATTGTTGCGCATCTGGCTCACTCGCGGGGGTGCGTGGATGAGTGTGCTTCGATTTGTGGGCCAGAGGAGCTGCCCTTCTCCAGCGGGCCGCGCCAGATCCCGAATCGATCCGCGCGTCGCGCATCGGTCGAAGTCGACCGGCTTACACTACGACAACTTTGCGTCGCGTCGACAGGCGGCGACCACGCTGCCGGCGCTCAGCGTTGGACGCCGCTGGCGACCCAGAATCTGGTCGATGTCGAAGGACCAGACGTTTCGAAAACGGCCGATCGTTCAAGGTTGAACGGCCCCCGCGATGTCAGAAACCAATGCGAGAACAGAAAAAGAAACAAAAAACAAAACAACAACAACAACAACAAAAAATGCCGAATTCGGCGCGACACGAACCTGCCGCAGGTGCATCGCCGTCCCGCGTCCCGCGCAGAGCACGGCGGCGGGCACGGCGAGGACCCGGCCGGGCAGGGGCGGCGGCAGCTCATCCCGCCAGGCGCACATGGGAAAGCCGGCGGCGCAGGAGAGGGCGCTGGACAAGCTGTGGGCGAACCTGGACGAGACGTCCAGGGCTTTTCCTCCTCCTCCTCCTCCTCCTCCTCCTCCTCCTCCTCGTGGCTTGCGTCTCGGCGTGCTCCTGCCCCGCTGCACCAGGGAGAGCTCGCGTAAGCTTTCGCGTTTCCCCACGGCGGCCTGGCAGAAAAGCACGGAACGCACGAGCAATGCCAAACCCGAGTTCTCATCACCGCAGTGCAAACTCAGCGGTAGCCTTGCTCCTCCTCCTCCTCCTCCTCCTCCTCCCTCGCCTCCTCCTCCTCCTCCTCCTCCTCCTCCTCCTCCTCCTCCTCCTCCTCCTCCTCCTCCGTTTCTTCCTCCTTCTCCGCGCTGGAGCTGGACGAAACACCCACCTGGCGAGCCGAGTGCCGCTGGCGGCGGGGGTCCAGCCAGGGGCTCTGGGCGCAGCTCTTGGCGCCTACTCGAGGAACAGGCAATGGCGTACAGTCGGTGCGCTGAAGAAGGAACCCTTTTCGTTGTGGAGTGGCTCCGTGTTCCTTAATTGTTTCACAGCTTGCCTCAGGGTTTCCTAATGTTTTCGATGGGGAATCGAAGTTCAACTTCTGGAGAAAATGGGCGGGCCTCGTTCCTTATTAGGGTTCCTTAGGTCAACGCCCCGACTGTAAACATAAACAGTCGGAGGTCCGCGCGGTTTTTCCAGACTTGCGCTGGAACCCCCAGGCGGCGCCTCCGGCGCCGCCCGTGGCGCGCTCCGCGCGTCACGGGGGGGGTCCGGCACCGATCCGAGAAGTCCGCGCGGACCTCCGAAATTTCATGGTCATGCCATTGTTTGTTCTCAGCCACGCGCAGAGGAGGTTAGGGTGGAGCGAGGAAGGCTTCTTAGAAGTGCCCCTGCCCTTTAGAAGGCGCGGGCCCGCCGCCAGTGTTCCTCGATCTCTCCGCTGCTCAGCTGTCCTGATACGCCCATCTTGAGAAGACACAGCACGTACCGTGATCAAAACGTCCGTGTTGACACGAAGAGTGTTGGCTCACCGTCTTGGCCCACGCACTGGCGAACGCATCGCGCCAGACCTACGTGTTCAGGCGACGTGTTGAGCTCCGTGTCGACACGTCACGGGTTGCGTGTTGCGCATCGAGGCAGTTGAGTTCCCGTGCTGTGTTGTTCCGCTGGGGCCGTGGGCCAATGGCCTCCTCCCCGGGGGCCTGGGGAGGGGGCTCCTTGGGGTCCCCCCCCCTTTCCGAGGCCTCCGGATGCCCACACTGGGGGCTCGGAAGGGGGCAGGAGCGGGGGCTCAGAAAGGGACAGGAGCAAGAGAGCAGAACGGCAGAAACAGAAAAAGATCCTCGACGGGGGCGGAGGAGGAGGAGGAGGAGGAGGAGGAGGAGGAGGAGGAGGAGGAGGAGGAGGTGGAGGAGGAGGAGGAGGACGAGGCGGAGGAGGAGGAGGAGGGGATGGAGGACGAGGAGGGGGAAGGGGAGGGGGAGGGGGAGGGGAGGGCAGGAGGAGGAGGAGGAGGAGGAGGGAGGGGATGGAGGACGAGGAGGGGGAGGAGGAGGGAGAGGAGGGCGAGGAGGAGGAGGAGGGTTGGGGATCAACTCGGATGCGGGGAGGCAGGGCGTGTGAGGTCCCAGGCCATGGTCCGCCGGGAGGTCTACTCCAAGTTTTTCATGCTGGCGCCGGCGGGGCAGGACCTCCCTCCCCCGCTTGTTCCATAGTGTCTATCTTCTCGTCGCTCCTCCTCGTCCTGCTCATCCCCCCTCCACCCTTCCAAATCAGCCCCATATTCCTCCCCCTCCCCCTCCTCCTCCCCCTCCTCCTCCCTCCTCCTCCTCCTCCTCCTCCTCCTCCTCCTCCTCCTCCTCCTCCTCCTCCTCCTCCTCCTCCTGTCCGTTCTGTTTCCCCTTCTCCATACCATCCACCATTATCCTCCTCGTTCTCTGTCTCCCCCCCGTCCCTCCTCGGGTACTTTCTCCTCTTCGCTATCCTCATGATACTCGCCCTACGCCTGGCAGCGGGGCATCGTTCTCGACTGTGCGATCCAGCCGGTGCGTGCATTCGCGACCCCTACTCCGTATCATTGTCTATATATTGCCCCTTGTCATCATCATCATCATCATCAGCAGCAGCAGCATCATCATCAACAGCAGCATCATCATCAGCATCATCATCAGCATCATCAGCATCATCAGCAGCATCATCAGCATCATCAGCAGCGTCATCATCAGCATCACCATTATCATCATCATCATCATCATCATCATCATCATCATCATTATCATCATCACCAGTATCACCACCATCACCACCAGCAGCATCACAATAATCACCAGCAGCAACAACAACAGCATCAACAACATCAGCATAAAACAACATATTATCGAACATAAGCATCATCATCATCAACTACAGCATCATCATCGCCATAATCAGCATCAGCAGCAGAAGCATCATCGTCATCATCACCATAATAATCATCATCATCATCATCATCAGCAGCAACAGCAGCATTCCGAATCAGCATCAGAAGCAGCATCATCATCACCATCGTCATCAGCAGCATCATCAACAGCACAATCTTCATGAGTATCATAATCAGCATCCCCACCATTAGCAGAACCATCCCCCTCTGCCGTTACAGGCAGTATAACCATCCTCAGCATCAGCATCATCAGAATCACAATCAGCATCAGCATCATCATCATCAGCATCGTCATCATTAGCATCGTCATCAATATCGTCGTCGTCGGCAGCATCGTTCTCGCCATCGTCATCATCATCAACATCATCAGCATCGCCACAATCAGCATCATCACCAACAGCAGCAACAGCATCGTCAGCATCATCATCATCATTATCAGAATCGGTATCAGCATCAGCAGCATCAGCATTATTATCATAATCCTTATCACCAGCATGAGCAACGGTTGTTGCGCCCGTTGTCACGCAATGAAGCCTAGATAGCTGATCTCTGCCGTCACGCCTGATCGTTTGTCATTAATCGGCTTTCAACTCTCATCGACATCGGTCCCGCGTCCTCTTCATCCTCCTCCCCGGGCAGGACTTCTTCAAGCAATCGACCACCCGGTTGCACTTCATTGCCGACCGCATCGTGTCTATGACTTTGGAGATCTTCAAAGACCCCAAGAAGATGGCCGACAGGGGTTCGAAGCATACCCCTTGCCCACGCCATCCTCCTCCCTTCGCTTCCCCTCATCCTCCTCGATCCTCGCCCCCCTGCTTTCCTTCTCCATCGTCTCTCCACCTCTCTCCTTCCTCGTCGTTGTTGCATCACTACTCCCTGTTCCTCCCTGCTCCATCCCTCCCGCATCTCTCCTCCCTCATGTATCCTGCCTATTACATCTCATGTACCCTCTCATTCTTTCCTCCTCTGTGCTGAATCATCCCCAACATTTCTTTTCCATTGCCCCTCATTGTGACACCAGTCCCTTCCCCTTTGTCATTATCTCGTCGTCCCTTCTTTCCCTCTCCCAACTTATCTTACCTCGTTCGCATCCGTTCGTCTTTCTTCCTCAGACCTCGTTTCTTCTCTCTTCTCCCTCCTCATCCACTGTTGATCATGCCTGCTCACCCTCGTCATCCTCCCTCCCCACTCCCCTTCCCTTCTCTCCTCCTTCCTTTGTTCCACATCCCGCACTCCTCATCTCGCCCTCCTCCCAACTCCCCTGCCCTCCATCCTCCCTCACCAGATCACCTAGATCCCCCTCCTCCCCTCTTCCTTCCTCCCCACCTCCATCCGTCCCTCGCTCCTGCCGCCCATCACCCCCGATCGAAGTTTAGGATCGGGATCCGAATGTTGAGGCTCGAGGTTCGTGTTTCGAGTTTGGGGACTCGAGGGTCCAGGCCTGTCAGGCGGGACCGGAGCAGGCGGGGTCGGTGAGTCAGCGCCGCAGCGCCGCGTCACCGGTGTGGAGCCCGATCTTCCCCGCCCAGGCGTCGCAGATGCAACGGCCGTTCAAAGGCAATGCGGCGCGGC